GATGCATTAAAGAAGAAACATCACTCTTAGAGGCTAACATTTATTTACACATCGGTGTGCAAAGTGCTGTACAGAATGGAACATCCACGCCAAGTTACATCGGTCAACCGTTTTGGAAAGTGTTCTGTCTTCAGATATTGTCGCTTTCGTTCCTCAAGATGGCGCCCACGTCCTCTGCTAGGCCAAAGTGGCTGGGGATGATGGGAGCTGAAGGTTAAATTAGCGGTGGGCAAAGCTTGGAGAATGTGAGTCTTTATTTCTTCAAGATGGTTTATTTCAGGTTGCAAATTCCAACATTTCTTCTACGGTTAGAAGACCGAAAGCAGTTGAAGGAAGGAAGAGGGGGGGAAGCGTCCTACCTTGTCTGCCTGTTGTACACAATTTGCCCCCCCCATCGTACATTTGAAAATAAAATATAAGTCAGGGGGAGTCACACAATAGCTGGGGAGACCCTTTCTGATCAGGAAAAAAAAAGTTTCTAGTTTCCATGCCAAGAGTGTTTGGAGAAGTCAGACATTCTACGAATCGGGGTTTAGTGAAAAGCTGAAGTTGGTTTATCGATGGCTTTAATGCAGTGTTTGTCAACCTTGGCTACTCTACGATGTCTGGACTTCAATTCCCAGAATTCCACAGCCTGCTGGCTGAGGAATTCTGGGAGTTGAAGTCCACGGATAGATCATCCTCCACTTATAATCGTTTGTTTAGCGACTGTTTAAAGTTAGAATGGTGTTAAAAAGAAGTGACTTTTGAGAGGTTTTCCACATTTGCAGCATCAATCATGCCCACGGGATCAAAATTCAGAGATCTTTTGTGTTTTTACCCACCAAGATTGACAGGGCCACTTGTATGTAAACAAGACAGCTCCCTTCTAGCATGGATGAGATTACCTAGTTGGGTAATAAAATGTCTGCGAGAAAACAACCAAGCTCAGAGAGCACAAGGGACCCCACAGTCTTCTTCCTCCTTCTCCTCCTCCTCTTCTTCCTCCTCCTCCTCCTCTCTGCAAACCTCACTCCCTTTCCTTTTAGCGCTGATGACATTATCTAGTTGGGTAATGAAATGTCTGCAAGAAAGGAACCCAGCTCAGAGAGCATCAAGGACCCCACAGTCCTCCTCCTCCATGAATCCTCTTCCTTTTGCTCCACTACACAAACCTCTCCTCTCTTTTAGCCCTGATGATGTTACCTAGTTTGGCAACAAAATGTCTTCAAGAAAACAACCAAGCTCAGAGAGCAGCAAAGACCCCTCAATTCTCCTCCTCCTCCTCCCTCCTCTTCTTCCTCCTCCATGCCGCCTCTTCCTTCTGCTCCTCTCCACAAACTCCTCTCCCTTGTAGCCCTGATTATGTTATCTAGTTGGGTAATGAAATGCCTACAAGAAAACAACCAAGCTCAGAGAGCATCAAGGACCCCACAGTGGTCCTCCTCCTCCTCCTCCTCCTCCTCCTCCTCCTCCTCCTCCTCCTCCTCCTCCTCCTCCTCCTCCTCTTCTTCTTCTTCTTCTTCTTCTTCTTCTTCTTCTTCTTCTTCTTCTTCTTCTTCTTCTTCTTCTTCTTCTTCTTCCTCCTCCTCCTCCTCCTCCTCCTCCTCCTCTTTTCCTTTTCCTTCTACTCCACTGCACAAACCTCACTCTCTTCTACAGTAGCACTGATGATGCTACCTAGTTGGGTGATGAAACGTCTGTAAGAAAACCAAGCTCAAAGAGCACCAAGGGCCCCCCGGATTGAATTAAAGGCCCTTAGACCATTTTAACTGACCATGTGCCAAATTGTGATTTTTTTTCCCCCCAACACCAAACAAATGGTTCATATGAATCACCACCCACGATGTTAAAACACTTACTCATGCCTTCGTACCCTGTTGCACCCATTCAATGTATGCCGGCTTCAAATCTTGGTAGAGCCTTGGTAGTTCAGTGATCTAAAGCACCCTGTTATTAAGAACAGCTGTCTGCAATTACTGCAGGTTCGAATCTCGCCAAGGCTCAAGGTCGACTCAGCCTTTCCATCCTTTCTAAGGTAGGTAAATTGAGGACCCGTTTGTGGGGGCAATAAGCTGACTTTGTATAAATATACAAAAGGATGAAGGCTATTGCTGAGCACATTGTAAGCCGCCCTGAGTCTCCAGAGAAGGGCGGCATATAAATCTAATTTAAAAAAAAAAATCTTGTGCTAAGCCATGTTGGGTGGCGTAAACCACAATGGGGTGAGCTCCCGCCTACCTAGCTGTATTAAAGTATGCTTTGCAAACTGAGAAGCCAGTTTCAGGCAACAGGGGGCGCTCAAACCATAGGAAACCCAATTGTTATATGTAACTAAATCTATATGTGCTCTTTCAAATATATACTATAAGGACAATGTGTGAAAAGCAGGCATTGTGTAAGATGCCTAGGAATTCGATGGAATGCGTGACCTTTTCCAGCAAGGTAATGTTTGTGTTATTTTAATATGCCATATACTTTCCCAAGGCACTCTATATAATACGTAGATATTATGCAGAATGACATGAACTCTTTGACAAAGTATTAAGGGTAAGGATTAGGGTTAGGATTAGGATTAGGGTCTTGGGTTAAGGGTTAGGGCTAGGATTAGGTTTAAAAGTTAAGGGTCAGGGTTAAGAGTTAGGAAGGGAAAGGTTAGGATTAGGGTTAGAGTTAGGATTAGGGTTAAGGGTTAGGTTTAAGAGTTAGGTTTAAGGTTAGGGTTAAAGTTAAAATTAGGATTAGGGATTAGGGTTAAATTTAAGGGTTAGGGTTAAAAGTTAGCAAGGGTTAGGGTTAGTTTTAAAGTTAGGGTTAGGATTAGGGTTAAGGGTTAGGTTTAGGAGTTAATCTTAAAGTTGGGGTTAAAATTAGAATTAGGATTAGGGATTAGGGTTAAATTTAAGGGTTAGGGTTAGGATTAGGGTTAGTTTTAAGGGTTAGGGTTAGGGTTAAAAGTTAAGAATTAGGGTTAAAAGTTAGAAAGGGTTAGGGTTAGTATTATGGTTAGGGTTAAGGTTAAAGTTAGGGTTACGGGTTACAATTAGGGTTAGGGTTAGGGTTAAATTGAGGGTTAGCGTTAAGAGTTAGAAAGGGTTAGGGTTAGGTTTAGGCTTAGGGTTAAATTTAAGGGTTAGGGTTAAGAGTAGCAAGGGTTAAGGTTAGTTTTAAGGTTAGGGTTAAGATTAGGGTTAGAGTTAGAGTTAGCATTAATGGTTACGATTATGGTTAGAAAGGGTTAGGGATAAGGTTACGGTTAAGGCCTAGGGTTAGGGTTAGGATTAGGGTTAGTTTTAAGGGTTAGGGTTAGGGTTAAAAGTTAAGAATTAGGGTTAAGAGTTAGAAAGGGTTAGGGTTAGGGTTAGGGTTATATTTATTTATTTATTTATTTATTTATTTATTTATTTATTTATTTATTTATTTTTCAAATTTCTATACCCCCCTTCTCCTTTCGGACTCAGGCGGTGAACAGCCAAAGTAAAACATTTGTACACAAAAGTTAAAATAGATTTAAAATAATTAAATAAAGTTTGGCCCATAATTTAAAACATTTCAATTCAAAAACCAATTTCAATTTTTTAAAAAAACCCACCATAAAACCTAGGGTTAGGGTTAGGGTTAGCATTAATGGTTACGATTATGGTTAGAAAGGGTTAGGGATAAGGTTACGGTTAAGGGCTAGGGTTAGGATTAGGATTAGAATTAGAGTTAGTCCTAAGTGTTAGGGTTAGGGTTAAAAGTTAAGGATTAGGGTTAAGAGTTAGAAAGGGTTAGGGTTAGGATTATGGTTAGGGGTAGGGTTAAAGTTAGGGTTAGGGTTACGGGTTACAATTATGGTTATGGTTAGGGATTAGGGTTAAATTTAAGGTTAGGGTTAGCCTAACCATAAGCCTAACCCTAGCCCTAACCCTAACTCTTGACTGAAAAGACGTATATGAAAACGAAAGAAGAATTGCAAAATAAAATACAGGATTTCCTTACAGAAAACAACAAGAGAAAAAGATCAGTATTGGATGCAACAAAGGAAGGTTAGATTGACATTTTAGCTGGAGCATTTTATATTTTGCAGGTTTGCCTTTTGGCATTGCATGGAACGCCTAGGAAATGCGTAACATATTAAGCATTTCATACAAAATGTCCCATTTTGGCATTCTTATAGATTTCCTGGGCATTCTTAGGAAATGCCTAATTTCACACATTGACGGTAATATATACATTATCCATCCTGGCCAGCTGTTAGAAATAAGTGTGACTGCCTAGATTTTTTTCTTTTTTCTTTTTTGGTTGTTCCTCGCAGGCCAAGGTTTAAATTACACGAGTCACTTTTAATAAATTTGGAAGATTAGACTTCTATCCAGTGGTGAAATGTAAAATTTGTTACTACCAGTTCTGTGGGCGTGGCTTGGTGGTGGTGGTGGGGGGTAATGTGACTGGGTGGGCATGGCCAACTTTTTTTTAAAAAAAAACTTTTAAAAGCATTTTTTCTACAACCTCTTCGGCTGAAAAAAATGCTTTTAAAAAGCCTCTGACGATCCCAGCTGAACCGCAAGATCATCAGAGGCTTTTTTTTAAAAAAAAAACTTTTAAAAGCATTTTTTCGGCAGAAGAGATTGTAGAAAAAAATGCTTTTAAAAGCCTCTGACGATCCCAGCTGAGCCGCGCGGTCATCAGAGGCTTTTAAAAAAAAAAACTTTTAAAAGCATTTTTTCGGCGAAGAGGTTGTAGAAAAAATGCTTTTAAAAGCCTCTGACGATCCCAGCTGAACCGCGCGATCATCAGAGGCTTTTTTTAAAAAAACTTTTAAAAGCATTTTTTTCCGCCGAAGAGATTGTAGAAAAAATGCTTTTAAAAGCCTCTGACGATCCCAGCTGAGCCGCACGATCATCAGAGGCTTTTTTTTTTAACTTTTAAAAGCTATTTTTTTCTGCCGAAGAGGTTGTAAAAAAAATGCTTTTAAAAGTAAAAAAAAAAAAAAGCCTCTGATGATCACACAGCTCAGCTGGGCATAGGCGGGGGGGGGGGGGGCGCAGGTATTTTTGCTACCGGTTCTCCGAATCACCCGCCGCCATCGCTACCGGATCGGGCGATCCGGTCCAAACCGGGAGCATTTCACCTTGCTTCTATCTTCTCTTCCTTAGGGGAGCAGGAGGCCTCCAGAAGCTTCTTTGCTGCTCTGAAATGTAATTTTCTTCTTGCATGGTATGAGGTCTCCATCCTGGGGCAAAGCAACATGGGCCCTGAAGTTCCTTCTTCTCCTCCCATGCTAATGGAAGAGAGATCCAACCTAGAACTAAAGAGAAATTGTCTGACAGTGAGGACAATTAACCAGTGGAAGGGATTTTCCTCCAGAAACTGTGAGTGCTCCATCATTAGAGGTTTCAAAGAAGAGATTTGACCGCCATTTGTCCAGAATTGTGTAAAGTCTCCTGCTCGAGCAGGGGGTTGGACTAGAAGACCTCCAGGGTCCCTCCGACTCTGTTATTCTGAGCAATCCGAACTCAAAGGAACAGCATCCTGGTTAGTCTTGTTACGCGACCCCGGAAGGCCTGATCATCATCCGTGTGGCTTTTAATGAGTATCCTGGGCCTTGGAAGTAATGCCAGCGGACTCCGTTCAATTTCCGGATGTTGTGTCGAGCCGGATAATAAATACCGTTTAAATTGGATTGGCCGCAGGCATCAAACCACCAGCCTGTTTTATGGAAGGATTGGAAAAGGTCAGTCATGGATCACACCTTCACCCATTATTACGTCTTGCCTCCAGAAGTTGTGAATGCTCCAACACTGGAAGTTTTTAAGAGGTTGGGGCAAAACTCACTTAATGAATGTCCCACTTAGCAACATCCATTGTGGGCTGTATTTTGGTTGTATTTAATTATTTATTTGTTTATTAAATTTATCTACCGCCCTACTCCCGAAGGACTCAGGGCGGTGAACAGCCAAGAGATAAAATACACATAGTACAAACGATTAAAAAATCATTTAAAAATACATTAAATACTTTGGCCTACAAACAAATTTAAAACACCCCAATTTATAAAGCAAATTTAAAACAATTTAAAAGGGAGGTTAGGCCAGACCAGCCTGCTGGAATAAGAATGTTTTGAGGGCACGGCGGAAAGTGCGCAAATCCGGGATCCTCCGTATCTCTGGGGGGAGCTCGTTCCAGATGGCAGGTGCCCCCACAGAGAAGGCTCTCCCCCTGGGGGCAGCCAGTCGACATTGTTTGGCCGACGGCACCCTGAGAAGACCTTCTCTATGGGAGCGTACTGGTCGGTGAGAGGCTACTGGTGGCAGAAGGCGGTCTCGTAGGTATCCCGGTCCCAAGCCTGGTTAGGTCATAAGTCAAGGACTACCTCTGCTGGAAGACGGCTATCATGTTGTAAAACGGGACGAAACTCATTTAATAAATACTGTGTTTTCCCCAGAATAAGACCGGGTCTTATATTAATTTTTGCTCCAAAAGATGCATTAGGGCTTATTTTCCGGTTAGGTCTTATTTTGGGAGAAAATACAATACTAAACGCCTCCGTCTGCTGACGATCTTTAACTGGGGCTTATTTTTTGGGTAGGGCTTATATTACGAGCATCCTGAAAAATCATGCTAGGTCTTATTTTCTGGTTAGGTCTTATTTTGGGGGAAATACGGTATTAAATGCATCCATCTGGCTGACAATCTTAACTAGAGTTTATTTAGTGGGTAAGGCTTATATTACGAGCATCCTGAAAAACCATGCTAGGGATTATTTTCCAGTTAGATCTATTTTGGGGGAAATACGTTATTAAATGCATCTTTCTGGCTGACAATCTTAACTAGGGCTTATTTTGGGAGTAGGGCTTATATTACGAGCATCCTGAAAAACCATGCTAGGGCTTATTTTCTGGTTGGGTCTTATTTTGGGGGAAATACGGTACTAAATGCATCCATCTGCTGACAATCTTAACTAGAGTTTATTTAGTGGGTAGGGTTTATATTACGAGCATCCTGAAAAATTATGCTAGGAATTATTTTCCAGTTAGGTCTTATTTTTAGGGAAATACAGTACTAAATGTGTCTGTCTGTCTGACAATCTTAACTAGGGCTTATTTTGGGAGTAGGGTGTCAAGTTTCCGAAAGATGCCCTAATTAATTCATGAACCATGATCCAAACTTCAAAGGAAATATAGTCAATTATTAGGAGCACCATTCCGGCAATACTGGGATGCAGTTAGGACTGATCCTGCGTAGATTTACGTTCCCCTATGACCTTGTCTCTCCCCTCCTCTCTGGCCATGTCATAAATCACATTCTCCAATTAACCACTTTGGCCGGCTGTGAAACCTAACACCCTCCTTCTGATTGCAGTCAGGAAGAATGTATGGAATGCACTTCAGTTCTCCCTCCCTCCTGCTCATGGCAACTTGAAAGCTTTGCAAGTTGACATTGGGCTTATATTACAAGCATCCTGAAAAATCATGCTAGGGCTTATTTTCTGGTTGGGTCTTATTTTCGGGGAAACAGGGTAAAAAGAGAAATTTTGGGCTCAATTGTGGTCATAAGTCTGTGCCTGTATTCTCTCTGGGGCGATTCCTCCCCCCACCCCTTATCCCCCTCTTTAGCGCATACTTACCACCAGAGAGCATCTGGGCACATTTGCACATGCAGTTGTCGTTATCGGAGTCCCAAGTGCTGAAGGATGTCCCCTGGAGAGGCAGGGCACTTTGGAGTCCAGCCGAGCCCTTGTAGCCTTTCAGGGCAAGCCTGAAAAAACAAAGAAGGCAACAGGAGCAGAGACGAAAAATACCTTTTTTTGAATTTTGGAAACTAAACTTTCAATAAGATTGCAATAGCCATAACACTTATATACCGCTTCCCAGTGCTTTCCAGCCCTCTCTAAGCGGTTTACAGAGTCAGCATATTTGTCCCCAACAATCTGGGTCCTCATTTTACCGACCTCAGAAGGACGGAAGGCTGAGTTGACCTTGAGCTAGTCGGTCAGGATTGAACTGCTGGCAGTGGGCAGAGTTATTTATTTATTTATTTATTTATTTATTTATTTATTTATTTATTTATTTATTTATTTATTTATTTATTTATTTATTTTGTATACAGCCCTTCTCCCAGAAGGGACTCAGGGCGGTGAACAGCCAAAATTAAAAAACATACAAATACAAAAGTTAAGATAATTAAAAAAAAGAAATAAATCATTAGCTTCCCAATTTAAAACCCAAATCCATAAAAATTTAAAATCCCAATTAAAAACCATTTACAATACTGCATTCTAACCACTAGGAGGGAGGGAGGGGAGGGAGGGAGGGAGGGAGGGAGGGAAGGAAGGAAGGAAGGAAGGAAGGAAGAAAGAAAGAAAGGAAAAGAAGGAAGGAAGGAAGGAAGGAAGGAAGGAAGGAAGGAAGGAAGGAAGGAAGGAAGGAAGGAAGGAAGGAAGGAATAGCAGTTAGACTTATATACCGTTTTACAATGCTTTCCAGCCCTCTCTAAGTGGTTTACAGAGTCAGCCTATTTTCCCCCTACAATCTGGGTCCTCATTTTACCGACCTCGGAAGGACGGAAGGCTGAGTCAACCTTGAGCCACTCGGTCAGGATTGAACTGCTGGCAGTGGGCAGAGTTAGCCTGCAATACTGCATTCTAACCACTGGGAGGGAGGGAGGGAGGGAGGGAGGGAGGGAGGGAGGGAAGAAGGAAGGAAGGAAGGAAGGAAGGAAGGAAGGAAGGAAGGAATAGCACTTAGACTTATATCCCGCTTCAGAGTGCTTTCCAGCTCTCTCTAAGCGGTTTACAGAGTCAGCCTCTTGCCCCCCAGCAATCCGGATCCTCATTTTACCGACCTCGGAAGGACAGAAGGCTGAGTCAGCCTTGAGCCTGGTGAGATTTGATCTGCCAAATTACAGGCAGCAGGCAGTCAGCAGAAGGAGCCTGCAGTACTGCACTCTAACCACTGCGCCACTGTGGCTCAAAGTTTAGATCTGTCTTGTTTGCAGCCGCATCCTGTTTCTGGCTGATGCTCGCTCTGGGATCCAGGAAGACTCTGAACATTTTCACAAGGAAAAGTGCCTCACCTGTAGCGCTGGCGCTCGCCTGTCAGCCGGACTTTTGTCGTACTGGGCATAAGCCTGGTTGCCTTCCCAGTCCAGAAGCTCCACCCGTAGCGTGTAGGCAGCCTGGCTGGTCAAATAATGGACGGCCTCGTTCCCCAGCCAATATTCTCCAGCTGCAACCCCGAAGCCCTGGGGCGAGAAGGAACACAGGCACGGTCAAAGGGAGGCAGGAGGGAAGGAAGGATGAGGAGAAGAAAAGGAGGGAAGGAAGGATGAGAGAAGGAAAGGAGGGAGGGAGGATGAAAGGAATAAACAGGACAGAGGGAGGGAAAGTAGAGAGGGAAGCAAGAAAGGGGAGAGAAGCAGGAAGGAAAGAAGGGGAGAGAGGGAAGAAAAGGAGGGAAGCAAAGG